GTACATGCCCTTGACCGGAATCAAACCTGGGACCTTTCAGTCCGCAGGCCGACGCTCTATCCACTGAGCCAAACCGGTCTCGGCCCTCCACTTTCTTTAAAAGTCAATGGAAAGAGTATCCTCAGCCATAGCCAGTTTAGCTCAGTGGGTAGAGCATCGGCCAGCGGGTCGAAGGATCCCGGATTCAATTCCGGTCAAGGGCATGTACCTCAGTTGCAGGCTCCTCCCAGGCCCAGGCCCAGGCCCCGGTCAGGGTGCATGCAGGAGGCAACCAATCGATGTGTTTCTCTTACATTGAAGTTTCTGTCTTTCACTCTCTATAAAAGTATCAATGGAAAAATATCCTCAGGTGAGGATTAAAAAAGAAATATATTAAAAATTAAAAAAGAATATCGTCAGGTGAGGATTTAAAAAAACAAAAACGACAAATGGGTTTGGATCCCCTACCACCACCCTGAGTTCTTAGGAGGATATATCATTCCTTAAACTATTATCTATAAAAAAAAATTAAGTCATTTGTTTTATCATCTCATGAAACATTGTTCCTTTGGGCATCAGTTTTGGAATTGCTGATTTAATTTAGAAAAGAAAACGGCTTCTTTGTCTTGCTTCATTAGACAGAACAAAAATTGCTATCTATTTTGTATGAAGTATCTTAACCTTTAAAAAAAAAAAGCTTACAAGGCCCTGGACAATAGCTCAGTTGGTTAGAGCATCGTCCCAATACGCCAAGGTTGTGGGTTCAGTCCCTGATCCGGGCACATACAGAAATCAACCAATGAATGCATCAATAAGTGGAACAACAAATCATTGTTTCTCCAAAATCAAACTTTTAAAGAAGCTTAAAAGATTACTTCATTATTCCAATAACGTGCTTTTCCAAGTAAGTTCTTTCCAAATCATCCGTATTTGTGCTTTTCTTTGAGTTAGTTCTCCCTGCCTCTCAAACTGTGGTCTAAAATCAAACACATTTTTCTCTCAAGCGTATCACTACCTACCACGCACAGCTGAAAGGTAGCCACCTGGTTTGATTTTCCTCTTCTAAAATCGTGCTTTCTGTTACTGTTTGTATAAATAAGCACTATATATAGTGCAGTTGTCAGAGAGCATAGGATTCACTATAATCCTCTGGAGAAAATCTGTGTCACTAGATAGCAGTGCATGCAGAGGCAGGCATTACCGTCTACCCAGAGAGATGCTATTACTAGCTAAATGCCATGTAACTGCTGACCAGCGTGACAGGGAAAATAAAATGCATCTGCACAGGTTTTTTCTGGACCAGTTGGGTCATTTGCAGTACAGACAACGGAGTTGTACCCACTCAGTCCAGAGCATTTTCTTTTCCCTTTTAATTGAATTTATTGGGGTGACGCCGGATAATACAATTAGATTTCAGGTGTACAATTCTATTATACACCCTCTGTATATTGTACTGTGTGTCCACCACCCCAAGAGTCCAGAGCATTTTCAAGCTTGCACAGACCCCAGCCATCCTCCCCACTGAGGTCTCCTCCTTGACAGCAGAAAGTGGAAATACAGTGTGCAGAGCCTCCGCTCCAGAAGTCAGGCCCAGATTCAAGCCCCAGCTCTGTCATTTAGTAACTGGTGATCATGAGGAATGAACAAGATAATACACTTCTAAGTACCTAGCATATCATTGGCTGTCAATTGTGAGTTCTCTTTCCCAAGCTACTTTTCATTTCTAGATTTTACCTGGACAACTGGACCCCAAAGCGGAAGGTAGCTTTTTAAAGCCTTAACCATTGGAATTAAGACTTCGGGGTGGGCTCCTTCCCAGGTCTCAGGGTATCTTCCCTGGTCGCTTCCACCTTCCTCTGTGTCCTGTGCTCTGCCTCCCTGCTCTGTCTTACGTTGTCTATGGCAGTGGTTCTCAACTTTGGCTGCACATTAGAATCACCTGGGAATTTTTATTTTAATCCTGATTTCTGGGCCTCATCCTCCGGAAATTCTGTTTGTTACTAATGTTGTGGCCCCACCCCATAACAAAGAAACAGGATTTCCAGAGGATGGGACCCAGAAATCAGGATTTTTTTAAAAAAATTCCCCAGTGATTCTAATGTGCAGCCAAGGTTGAGAACCACTGGTCTACAGGGTTTTGAAAAAGAGCTGCGTATGTTACACAGGTGGTCTAGCTGCCTTGGCGTGGGCCTTGCTGAACATGCTGCAGAGCACTGGCACCTCAGTAAGATAAAGTCACATTTATGACAATGTGGACACACCTGGGATACTGTAAAATGATGCCATTAGTCTTGTTTCCTAATACTCCCACAAATCTTTGGCAATTACACACATATGGTGCTGCTAGTTTGAAAGTTTAAATTTCAACTAAGAAAGCCTGTCACTAATGTCTCCATATTTACCAGACAATTTTACCAGCCTAGGGGAGTTTCCCAGGGTAGACTATATATAACCAATTCCCAGAAGGGTTACAAAGACTCCAAGATGAGTTAAGGAGAGGTGGGAAAACTGTAAGGGGCGGGGGGGGAGGAATGTAGAAGAGCAAAGGTCAGACTCTAAGGGGGTAGCAGGCCGGTGGGGTAAGGACTCAGGCAAGTGAATAAGGAGCATTTTGATGTATTCCACATCCATTCATATGCTCGGGGCTGGTGGTGCAAAGAGAAAAAACTCTGCCCTCCTGAAGCTGGCACTGCAGAGGGAGGAGAAGATGGTATATTATGTGGCTGAGTCCCGGTGCCGCCTGCTCGGAGCCCTCTGAGTGTACTAGTATGGATGTGTCTATCCTCCAGCCACTCATAAACCATGTCCTACTCTTACCCCCACTTGGCGAGGGGCCAAGTTCCCCAGGCAGGAAGTGGGCAGGCAGGGCAGTCACCTTGGCAGCTGGGCCCTAAAGAGCACTCTTGCCCACTAGTCTACTAACAAATAAGAGCGTTCTGGTTCCAGACGGTGACGTAGGAGGGTTTTGAACTCACCTCCTCCTAAGGTCACACCAAATCTATAGCTACATACAGAACAATGTCCTCTGAAAGAAACTCAAAAACTAGATGAGCAACACACCTACACTGGGCAAAGGAGAAAACCACATGGAAACAGGAGAGGCTGAGACACGTGCACCATGACCCCCACAGTCACCCCCAGTCAGGAGGGAACGCACAACTCAGGGCTCCTTGCTGAGAACCCCACATCTGGCACCCCAACTTTAAAAACCTGCACCTGAGAGGCAAGCTCCCGAGTCTTCCAGCTTTAAAAGCCAACAGGGCTTGTATCCATGAGACCCACTGGCTAGAGCAAACTGAGAAACAGTTTTTATTTTTGTTTCGTTTTTCAGTCTGACCATATTTTTAATTTGAAAGATAAAAAACCATAAGACTATAGAAAATTAAGATCTCTCTTAACTTTCAAATACACAAGGTAGTATTAACAATATAGTCACCGTGCTGCACTTATAACTGGATATTTGTATGTTTTGACCACCGTCACCCATTTGGTTCACCTAAGAAGCAGTTCTTTTTTTTTTTTTTTAAATATATTTTATTGATTTTTTACAGAGAGGAAGGGAGAGAGATAGAGAGTCAGAAACATCGATGAGAGAGAAACATCGATCAGCTGCCTCCTGCACATCTCGCACCCC